AACACTCCTTTCTGCACTTGACTTCTAAGAAAATGATACTTCGTCTCAATGTGCTTTATTCTTCCATGTAGCACTGGATTCTTGGCAAGATCAATTGCAGACTTATTATTAATCATCAGCTTCAGAGGTTCCTTAACTTCAACCTTCAGATCATACAAGAGGTTCAGAAGCCAAACAGCTTGACAAGCAGCTACAGCACTTGCGATATACTCAGTTTCACGTGTTGACAGAGCCACGACAGGCTGTTTCTTGGAAGTTCAAGAAATAGGACCTCCCAGAAATTTAAATAAGTATCTAGAAGTACTTCTCCTGTCCACTCTGTCTCCACACCAGTCAGAATCAGAATAACTTATTAATTTGGGTTCTATCTTTCTTTCATAAGGAAACAACACTCCATATTTCAGGTTTCCTTTGATATATCTCAGAATTCTGACAGCAGCTTGGAAATGAGACCACTTTGGATTACTCATGAATCTACTAACCAATCCAACTGCATAACAAATATCAGGTCTAGTATTGCATAAATACCTTAGAGAACCAACCAACTATTTGAAGGTTGTAGTATCAACATAATCACCATCAGAGTAAGAATCCAATTTTTGATTGGTTTCTGATGGTATCACAACAACTTTACAATTCTACAGCTTAAATCTCTTCAGAAGTTCTAGTTCATACTTCAACTGATGCATAATGATACCCTTCTTCGAGTACAGAATCTCCATCCCTAGGAAATATGTCATATTTATTAGATCTGTCATCTCGAACTCATTCATTAGAGCGTCTTTAAACTTCTTTATATCTTTTGGGCAGCTTCCTGTTAGAAAAATGTCATCAACATAGAGACACACCAGAATCATATTGTTATCAGAGTGTTGCACATAAACGCCATATTCCATCTCACATTTCTGAAACTTATGCTTATTGAAAAACGAATCAATTTTCAAATTCCAAGCTCTGGGTGCTTGCTTCAGTCCATACAGAGCTTTATTCAACTTGTATACCATCCCTTCCTGATTATTTTTCACAGATCCAGGAGGTAGTGACGCGTAAACTTCTTCCTGTAATGGACCGTTCAGAAATGCAGACTTCACATCCAGATGCACTAAAGGCCAATTTCTATTTGCAGCTAAAGCAATCACCAGTCTGATTGTTTCGTGCCTAGCTACAGGCGCAAACACCTCAAAGTAATATAGCCCAGGTTTCTGAAGAAAACCTCTAGCTACTAGCCTAACTTTGTGCTTTCCAATTGAACCATCTGGCTTAAGTTTTAACTTAAAAACCCATCTGACGCTGATGGCTTTTTTCTTATCTTGAAGTTTAGTCAATTTCCATGTTTTGTTCCTTTCTATTGCCTCAAGTTCTTCTTTCATAGAATTCAACCATTCTTTCTTCTTGAGAGCTTCTTCAATGCCCACTGGTTCAGAATCTACTAACATGGCACACTGAACGACTTCTCCTTCAGAGTCAACTTCATTATCATGCAACATGTCGAAATCTGCAAACCTTCTTGGTTTTTGTCTGATTCTATATGGTCTTTGAGCTTGTTCTGAAGCTGCACCAGAACTACTACCTTTAGAGTTTTCCCTTCCAGAACTATGGTCACCACCAGATTCTGGATCATCATCTGGATCAGAATCAGATCCAATGTCAGAATCTCCTTCTGACTCATCTTCAGAATCTTCAGAATCAGACTCATCTTCTGAACTTTCTAAAACATCTTCAGAGGCTAACTCTAGTGTTGGCACTACACCAGAATCTGATTGAGACTTATTCCAATCCCATGCTTCAGACTCTTTCACCATAACGTCTCTGTTGACTTCAAATTTATTAGTTTTTGAACAATAGAGCTTATATGCACCTGTACTGTGATAACCCACCAGCACCATTACTTTGCTTCTATCATCCATTTTTTATCTTCTAGCTTCTGGAACGTGTTTATAATAGACATAGCCAAACACATTCAAATGAATGCCACTCTACTTATCTCCAGTCCATTTTTCTAAAGGAACAACTTCCTTCAGTTTCTTCGTTGGACGCCTGTTCAGAATATATGATTATGTGGCAACAGCTTCTCCCCATAACACGTAGGGTAGCTTTTTTTTCTTTCAGCATGCTTCTGGTCATACCAAGCAAGGTTCTGTTTCTCCTTTCAGCAAGACCGTTGTGCTGAGGAGTATATGGAGCAATAACCTCATGTTCTATTCCATTCTCCTCACAGAATTTCTGGAACTCTGTAGAGTTATACTTACCTCCACCATTCGTTCTCAGAATCTTCAACTTCTGACCACTCTGTTTCTCAACCTTCACTTTGAACTTCTGGAACTCAGTAAACACTTCATACTTGAACTTGATGAGTGTTACCCATGTCATTATTGTGAACTCATCCATAAAAGACACAAAATATTTGTTTCCTCCAAGTGAAGGTACTGGAAATGGTCCACACACATCATAATGCATTACTCCCAGATCATGCTTCGCTCTGGGGGCTACTTCTGATGCAAATGGAAATATGGGTTGCTTGCCTTTCATGCATATATCACATGACTTCTCATGCTTCACAATCTTCGAAATACCATGTACAAGATTCTTAGAACATAAATGCTCTAAGCTTCTATAGTTCAAGTGCCCCAACCTCTTATGCCACAACTTACTATCACTTTCAGCGTCTTCTGCACTAAGACACGTTGTTTCAGTTGTTTCTACATTTACCTTGAATGTTCTGTTGCTTCCTTGTTCAGACTTCATAATCAACTTCTGATTGAAATCATACAACGTCAGGAGATTGTTTTTCATAGCAACTGAGAAACCTTTCTCAATCAGCTGACCCACGCTCATCAGATTGCTTCTAATACCAGAAACATACCAAACGTCTTTGATCAGAATGTCTTTCCCATTCTTCACTCTAACTCTGACATCTCCCATACCTTCTGCATTAAGATACTTATCGACAGCACATCTGATCTTTGTTCTCCTTCAGGAGTCAAAGTCTGTCAGCCATAGTTTGTTTCTAGTTAATTAATTTGAACAGCCAGTGTCCATATACCACCAATCTTCTGAGCATTTTCCATCAGAATCAGAAGCCATTAGTAGTACAGGTTCATCATCAGAGTTTCTTTTAGCCATATACGCTTCTGATTTTCTTTCCTTGTTTGACCTACAATCTCTGAAAAAATGGCCAAATTGTTTACAAGAGTAACATTGAACCTTCCTTTTATCATACCTCTCCTTTCCTTTATGATATCTCTTATCATCAGAAGTTGAGGTTTTTGACCTCTGGAATCTATCACCATGTTTATTCTACTTCTGGTCTTTCTTGACAAAAGAAGCCTTCAGAGCTTGCTCAGCTTCCCTTTTAGAAGTTCTCTCAGACAGACGTAACTCTTGTGCTTCTAGACTGCTTTGCAATTCTTCTATTCTCATGGTTTCCAGATCTTTAAAATGTTAAATAGAAACAACAATGTAATCAAACTGAGGAGTAAGCGACCTCGGAATCTTCTCTATGATTACCTGCTCAGACAGATTTTCTCCACACGCCTTCATCTCGTTAGTGATCAGAATCACTCTGGAGATATATTCAGAAATTTTCTCACTGTTCTTCATGTTCAAGTTCTCATATTGCTTTCGCAGGGATTGAAGCTTCACCTTCTTTACTGATGTGTCACCACCGTAACATCTCACCAGTAAATCCCATGCCTCTTTTGACATTGTTGAATCAGAAATCTTCTCGAACACACTTTCATCCACACATTGATGGATATAGAACAGAGCTTTCTGGTCCCTCTTCCTCATAACTCTCTCAGCAATTTTTTGTTCTTCAGTTGCATCTGCTGCAGCTGATACATAACCATCTGTAACCAGATCCAGAATATCTTGCACACCAAATAACACACGCATTTGTATCATCTATCTGTTCCAGTTTTTTCCATTAAAAACTAGGAGTTTGGTGTTCAAACTACTGCCTCCACTCATTTTAAACCTTGCATAGATTTTTTAGATCTTCAAACACACTATTTCCCAACCCACAGAATCAGATTATGTTCAGATTTTGTTCAAGATTTCAACAGAAAATCAATGAACCAAAATCAAACACACAGCTCACAATCACTCGTGTTTTCCAGGAAAAAACAGAACCAAGTGCTCTAGATACCAATTTGTTGGTGCAAGGTAATGAAGTGGGAGAAGAAGAATGAATAAGAATGATAACAAGACTACTGTTGTGCATAAAATAGGGATACAATATTGATAGCCTAGTATAGCATATTTATATTAAATATTGAAAATGCCAAAAGGCCCTATTAAATATAAGCATTGGGAATTGTAGACATTAACTAAATTATCTTTCCAATACATCATTTAGTTTAGTGGTGGAAGAGAGAATCCAATGCTATATATAGAATTCACGTTTTTTCTTTACAAGATGTATCAGTCAAAATCACTTTAAGCTTATATTTGACTTTTTATAGTCTCATATACTCTTGTTTTAGAGTATCATGAGGGATAGTTAAATATTTTTCTTTGGAGAGTACGGGTGTATTGAAGCCTTAGGGTGATTGAGAGTAGTCTATGTGTTCTAACAATTTTCACATATTGTTATTCTCTGGTTGTCATTTGACAACGATTGTGTTTTTTTCTTGAGTTTTGAAATTTCCACGTTAATCTCTTGTGTTGTTATTTTGTTCCTCTTTTTCTCAATGGTTTAGTTTTTCCTAACAAATTGCATTAGAGCCTTGGTTTGGTGCAGTATAAATTTTAGTATGCTTCGTGGTTGTGGTTTTGGCTAATCTTTCACATCAGAAAATAAATTTTATATTATGTGTTAGTTGAGAAAATTTAGATTTACTGTAGGAAAGATTTTGGTTGCAATGTCAAATTTTTCAAGTGCAATGAAGATTGACTTGACATTTGATGGAAGAATCAATTTTGGCTTGTGGAAAATTTAAGTCAAAGATGTTTTGATACAATTAGAATTACACAATGCGTTAAAAGGAAACATTTCCAACATGGACAACGAGAAGTTGGAAGAACTAGATTTGAGAGATTCGAGTATAATTCGCATGTCTTTGGCTAAGAATATTCTTGCAGATGTTCTGGGTACGTCGTCAGCCAAAAAGCTTTAGGAGAAACTTGAAAGGCTATATCAAAGAAAGGGTATATCAAATCATTTATTGTTGAAGGAGTAGTTTCATAACTTATGTATGGATAGACATACAAAAATATCTGATCATCTAAGTGTTCTAAATGGTATTGTTTTTGAATTAGAAACTATTGAAGTCAAGATTGATGATGAAGATAAAGCTTTAAGACTCATATGGTCTCTTCCATCTTCTTATGAGTATATTAAATCTGCTTTGATATATGGGAAGGAAACTTTTGATTTTGAAGAAGTTGCTAGTAAAATTATTTCTGAAGTAGAAGATTGAAAGGTGAGAGTCGAAAGCACCAATGAGACCAATGCTCCAAGACCACAAGAGAGAGACACTGCATCTCAACTCAAAACCTTAAGATGTTAGGTAAATGTGTCATCTCTCTTATAAATCCAACATTTTAACTCATTCATAAACAATATCAGACTTTAACCACTCACACTTGCACCCACCATTCTCCCCCACAAATGAGTCCCATACATCCTATAACAATATCCATCACCAGATCCAGCTCCCGCTCTCCCACCAAGTCGAACCATGGCTCTAATAATACCATTGTTCGAGAGTCTGTGAGAGTCAGAAACATCAATAAAATCAATGCTCCAGAACCATAAGAGAAGGAAACACCACATCTCAACCCAAAACCTTAAGGTGAAATATCATCACAACAGGGGATTTGATTTTCTACTGTCATTGTTTTGACGCATTCATCACACTTGTAATCGTAGGATCAAGATTAAACGGTCCAAATTTTAATACAGTTTTTAATTTACTTTAAAATGAAATATTGAGTTTTAAATATAAAACGTCTGATTTTCATTCAACAACTGTGATGGACCCAAATGCGTGAATGCGTGAAGTAGTGAATGCAGGAAAACCCAGTCCTGACAGCAGGGGATTTGATTTCTCCCATGTCTTCTCTCTTTTTTTTTTTAATTCCACCAGTGCCATTTAAAAAATTGCAGCCAGACAGAAAATAAAATGTGGTTAGCCAACAATCCAGCATGTACATTAAATTCGTCTTAAAACTTAATATATCTAAAGCATATGTTGAGAACAACTTCCAAACTGTAACAACACATCCCAAAAATCAAATGCTCCTTAAAAATGCAAAGCATCCTGAAGTTTGGAAGTTTAACAAGTACACTTGCCACCAGCAAGCACCTGCTGAAATTAAGTTGCAATTTCAATACATTAAAAAGACACAAAATAGCACAAAAACCCAAAGAAAAACATGTACATTTTCAAGTCAGAAGGTGTGTCCACTTACCTTGTACATACTTCTAACAGTCTCTGGATTATTGCTGTCGCTTTTTTTCTACATCAAGTTCCCATCTTGTCTGAAGTGCCATACAATACTTTGGTGGAAACAGACATATCCCTGTTTGTTGAATTTCTTGTTATTTTCTGTGACTTTGGTGCTTTGTTGAGAACTGAGGTAGGGAAAAACAACTAAGCTATTAATACTTTGGTTAAAAATGCTAATGAACAAGCGCACATTTTACCATATTACATATTCAACTTTTTACTTCTGCTTTAAGCTAAAACATTATATCTGAAAAGTAGTTTTCTTCCTTGCTTTCCGCTAAGATCTAATAAATCATGTTTAGTATAGAACTGTATATAGAAATCCGTGTTTTGCATAGGAAAATGAAATATTGAATATTCAACCAAAATGACCATTTTGGAAAAAATAACAATGCCATTTGAGTAGGAAAACTATATCCAAAAGACTGATGTGTGGTAAATGGTAAGAAATGGTTTTGAAGTTGTGTACAAAAGTGATTTATTTCTTAAAGATTTTACATAAAGAATACCAGTTAGTCTCCTCAAATCTTTAATGATATGCTATCTCCAATATCCACAAGAGATCTGCATCTAACTGATGCTTTGAGAGCATATGACAAAGGGTTCCTGAAAATCAAAGCAATATATATTCACACAACAAAGAACACCAAAGACACAACTCACATATTGGATAGATATACATGTGTAGAAAATAATCTAAATATGAGCTCACCACAACAAGTGGAAAAGATGGATAAGATATTCATTTGATGCTTGACTGGAACGCTCTTATTAAATATGCCTGCAAGTGTAGGCTGGGCTTGAGTTGATCACCAAATAAACAACATCAATAAATATATGATTCATAGGAATTAGTAATCAAATCCAACAACCGGATAGAGCATACACATCTAGCGCATTTCTGATTTCTAGAATCTTAGTACCGATTAGAAGAGGACCAGAAAAACACATGGCCAACCAGAAAATCAATACCTTGACAACATGTACCCACTGAATCACCACAACAACCAAGCCTTATCCCACTAAGCGAGGTCGGCTAGATAGATGAACTCCCGCCATAATGTTCTATCTAAGAACTTGTTTCTATCCAATTCGTTAATCTCGAGATCTTTTTTAATAGTTCCCCTTATAGTTTTTCTAAGGCTTCCTCTACCTCTACTTGTTTGACTCCTCTCCATATGATCTATCTATTGGTCTTCTCTCTACATGCCCAGACCATATAAACCTATTTTCCACCATTTTTTCTACTACAGGTGCTACCCCAAGTCCCAACACTCTAATATTGTCATTTCTAATCTTATCCCGTCTAATCTTAACACACATTCAATCCAACACAACATCCCATCTCTACTACACATACTTTATCACCCCCTCCGTCGCAAAATGTTGGAGACATCTTTGGAATTGTCTACTGCATTAATTACTTGCTAACGCTATACCCCTAATTAATTCAATTTTTTTCAACAAACAATAGATAACGTAATTTACGTACACAAACTTTTTTTTGTCAAGACAACTTTGCCAATAAATTCAATGGTAGCTTGGGTACAATAAATGGTGGACAAGACAACTTTAGTGCTTTCAATAAATACTAATTTCCTTAGTGGGAGCGATTTAGTTAAAAAAAAGTCCTTATTTTGGGACGAAGGGAATACATAAATTTATTATATAAAACTAAATGAAGAGGAGTTCTACGAAACAGTTGGAATGGCTGCCGTGCAAATCAGCCGCTTGCAGATACAAGCAGATACAATGTAAAGCTACCCACAATAGATTTGCAAGGGTTCCAACCCTTCCTTGAACCCGTGCTATGACACAAGCACTCTTATTGCACTAGGTTAGTCTTTTAGATAAAACTAAGAAGTATTATGCGGTAACATTATGCAGCACCATGTTGACAACTTTATATTTCTCAAAGTAATAGAAATCTAAGAATCTTATTAAAGAGGGGACAAAGCACAGCTGTAGAAGGATAAGATATCCTCCAAAGCAGAAAATGAAGAATAGAGTACCACGGAAGATCAAGAATGCTGTGAAGCTGCTCAGTCTCTATGCATATATGAAAAGGCTGACTCCTTTGAAACAGACAATAATAAAAAACCAGAGAAATCATTAACACAATCTTATCTGTCCAACAAAATATGGAGGGGAAAATGCACATTTGGAATGTGTTAACCCTTTATATCCAATCAAGGGAATCCGCCCCATAGTAGAACATATTCATTTTGCACACCGAAATATCTAAATATCTTTCTTCTCCGTTGCTTATAAATACCAAATATCTAAATATGGCACAACTGAATAAAACAGTCATCATCCTATATTACCATTACCAATTTTTTTTCAAAACCCACGGCAAAATAAAAATAAATAAAGGAAAAATGCAATGTAGAACAAAACAATAAAAAAATGAACAGTTTGATCTTGAAAGGCTTACCAATAAAATTAAAGGCTCTTTGTTCAACTAGCAAACCAAGTCAAGTGTATGCTGCTTCAGCTGTTGCTAGTAACCCACATGCCTGGAGATCAAGCATTGAGATCTTCATCTTTCAAATAATATGAGCTTGAAATCAAGCTTAACAATGGAAGTCTCGACCACAAGAGTTCTGTTATCAACTAAGTGTCAACTGTTTTGAGTAGTTTCTTCATTATTCTTGATTACTAATTGCTGCATCTGTATGTGGATGCAACTTGTCAACCAATGTTGTATACGTTATTTCTTCCAAGGGTGCTTCTGTATTAGGCATAGGATCGCATAGAAGAGTTTCTTCGAGCTCCTTTTCCTTGCAATATCCTTTTTGCAATACATTATAAGTAACAGTATCCGGTGATATTCCATTTCTTATCATCTCATTTAAAAGCTTAGTCGCTTCTGTTGTATTTCCTAATTTACAATAACCACCAATCATAATAGTGTAAGTAATTTTATTAGGAAGTATACATTTTGAAGTCATTTCCAGTAAGATGTTCCGCACTTCATCCATCTGACCTAACTTACAGTAACCACCAATTAGAGCAGTATAACAAAAGACATTTGGCATCAATCCTTCATTTCTCATCTCTTCAAAAAAATTCTTTGCTTCCTCAACACGGCCAATGCGGCACATTCCATGTATTATAGAAGAATAGGTGGCAATCGTAGGAAGAATGTCTCTACTTTTCATAATATCGCGGAGTTTGAAGGCTTCCATAAAATTCCCAGCTTTACTATGAGCTGCAATAAGTATGTTATAAACAACAGAACTAAGTTCTACTTCCTTATAAACTAACTTGTTGAAAAAGCTCATAGCATTATCAATCCTATCAGCATTACAATATCCTTCCAACATTAGTGCATATGTATAGATATTTGGAACCACACCGTGTTCTACAGCTTCATGTAAAACCCTATCGACATCGTCTATTTTACCCTTATCAGCTAGCCCTTTCATTAGGAAATTGTAGGTATAAGTATCTGGTTTGAATCCTTGTTTCACCATCTCTTCCTTCAGCATGAAAGCTTTCTCAATTTTACCTGATTTACAACAGCCAAATATAAGAGTGTTGTATGAAATCCCATCCAGTACCAAACCTTTCCCCATCATTTCTTTGAGTACTGCAAAGACCTCTTCCATGTTCCCCCTTGCACAAAGTCCATGGAGAATCCCATTTGAGGTCGCTGTATTCGCTGCAATCCCTTTATCAGCTAGTCTAAACCAAAGCTCAATTGCCTCCAAATGCTTTCCACATTTACAAAGTCCACAAACCAACAAAGTTAGCAAGCTATCATTAACCTTAATATTCCTCAACAACAACTCCTTTACAATTTTCAAGGCCGGATCAAATTTGGAACTATTGCATAACAAGTGAATCACATAAGAACACGCATCCTCGTTAACAGACAAACCGTTAGATAACAAGTACCCTAACACTTTCTCAGCTTGCTCCATTTGATCGGTCCTACAAAACCCTTGTAAAAGAGTATTAAAAGTAACAGCATTTGGTTTCAACCCCTTCAACATCATATCATCCCTAATCCTCAATGCCTCATTCATATTCCCTTTCCTACAATACCCATCAATAAGTGCATTAAAAACAAACTCATTAGGACAAAATCCCTTGCTATACATTTCTACCAAAACCGAATTCGCCTCATCGAATTTCTCACACTTCATCAAACCATTAACAAGAATCCCATACGTAACTAAACTAGGTTTCACTTTATTCTCAACCATCTTATCTTTAAACCTAAAAGCTTCTTCTAACCTCCCACTCTTACACAACCCGTCAATCAAATTATTATAAGTAACCACATTGGGCAAAACACCCTGCTCCTCCATTCTAAACAACAAACCAACAGCATCATCTATCTTTCCACCTTTACTAAAGGCATTAATCGCAGTCGCGTACGTGTAAACATCAAGTGTAACACCACTACGACAAACCGCCTCAAAAACTCTATAGCTCTTGTGAAGCTCATTCGATTTCACCAATGAACTCAACAAAAAATTGCACGTTTTAAGCGAAGGAAAAACACCATTGCTGGTAAACAATGTGAAGATATCAAAAGCCCAATGAAAACCTAAATGCTGAAACTGTGAACATAGAATATGAAGCAACAAATCCAATTCACCGTGACTGTGACTTCCTTCCGTTAACCGACTCAGTTCAAGAAACGATGAAGCGATTTCGCTAAGCCTGTCGTTAATGTTACCTAACGGCGTGTAAACGTTTCCGTCGATTAAGCATTTCAACGTGAATCTAGCGCGGGGTAAAAACCTCGAAGCGAGAAGCAAACGGATTAAGAGGCAATAGGAACGAACCGTGAAACGGAACTTGAATTGGTTAGAAGCGAAACGGAAGAAATCGAGTGTGGTTTTGAGGTTAAAAGAGGAATGGTGAGTGAAGAATAAGCGGTCGAATTCGTGAGAGGTTAGATGAGGTAGAATCGATTTGCATTTGGAGGAATCTAGAGTTTTGTGGGAGAGGATGGAAGGCAGGGAAGTTAGGGAAGTGTTGGTGGAATCTGGGTCCGGTGGTGGAGGAGGAGGGATGGTGCGGCGGTGGTGGCGGGGGATGGTGGAGGTGATCCAGGTTAGAGGACGAGTGAAGATTAAGGGAGGTTTTGTGGTAATGTGTTTTGCGAAATCCATTGCGAAATGCATAGCATTGGTTTTTGTGAAAAGGGTTACTGGTTTGAGTTTGGTGGTGTTGAAGCCATTGATTGTGTTTGTGATTGAGAGGGTGCGAACGTGGCACAGTTTAGTGAAGAAAGAAAGTGGTTAGTTGAGGTTTGGAATTGAAGTGTTACGAAGGGGAAGACGCAGACTTCGAAGGTGCGGTCGGACTGGGTGAGAGTGACCCAGGTAACACCGGGGTGAAATTGAAATGTGGGCTGGGTATTGATTCCGAGTAGTTTAACCCGACAAATTAACCTATCATCCTCATGACATTTCTAGTATTTTCTATCGAAATTTTCGAACTAAATTTTTTTATAGTGCATTTGAAATTTATTTGAAATTTCTGATAAACTGAAAATTTTAAATTTATATAATAATTTGAACTTTTAAATTTCAAATTTCAAAAATAAATTATCGGAAATTTCAAAATTTCCGATATCTCGTAAAATCTCGGAAATTTTGAAATTTTCGATACAAAAGGAAAATGTTTATATCGAAAATTTAAAAATTCTCGTACGAAAATTCCGATACAAAATACTAGATATTTCGTAAATATACTGGAAATTTCCTACTGTCTCCCTAAATTTTTGGTGTCGCTTTGAAATTTTCGGTATCGCCATTTGGAGGGGTTGGTCACGAAAATTTTGAATTTCTGAAAGATATTTGGGTCTGAGTAATTTAGTTTTTTCATATCATTTGGGGGTTGTCATGCATAAGAGGGTGGTGGCATGTTGGTTCCTTGTTTAGCCCTGGTAGAATATTGGCAGAAATTAACATGTTACCCCCATATTATACATGCCACCCCCAAATTTCATTATTCTCAAAATACTCTTTCACTATTTACTCTAAATTTTTTACTTTTATCAAAAAAAAATTATTATTGGTCAAAGAAGATAAAAATCAAAATTTTCGATACTCTTAGCAAATTTCTGGTACCGAGTTTTGTCGTATACCGAAAATTTTGTACATTCTACAAATTTCTGGTTGCCATTTACCGAAAATTTCAAATTTTTCGGTTGCGATTTATCATAAATTTTAAAATTTTCATAAATTTTACAAAAGTCATTACATGTACCGAAAATTTGACAAATTTCCAATAAAAAACCTTTACTGGGAATATCGAATTTCTGATGTTCCGAAAATTTCAGTTATACTTGAAAATTTCGGTATGTCTGCAGATGAAATTTTATATCTTTGCGGTTCTAAATCGACAACTTCAGCTTCTTCTACGGATTCACGTATTGATCTTACGCAGTTCTTCATCATAGATACCGTGTGTTTTCTATTTAATTTACATAAGTTTTTTTTGTAAATTGATGAAGCTTACTAATGATATGTTATTGTAACTGTCAGATTTTTGAATCACGAGATAAAGTTCTAGAATGGGCACAGTCTACTGAAAAAATCATGGTATTGTTATTGTTACAATTCGGTCTGTGATTGTAGTTTTTTTTTAATGTAAATATGTAGGGCATTTATTCTATTTATATATTAAGTCGATTCGCTATTTCACAGTGTATTTTATTCAAGTAATAGTTTAAAAAAATTAAGTCCCAGTATTATCGGAAATTTGAAATTTGTGGTATTTTTCACACATCGGAAATTTCAAATTTGCGGTTTTTTTTATAATGATGAAAAACACCAGAAATTTGAAATATCTGGTATCGAAAATTTCAAATTTCTAGTTACGATCATATGGCACGATATAAACTTGGAAATTTAACGAAATTTCCGGTATTTACATGAAATTTATGGTATGGAACCGGAAAATTCAAAATTTTCGGTATATTTCAGGGACAGTTTCCTAAATGTGCCCTGTCTGGGAGGTGGCATGTATAATATGGAGGGTGGCAAGTAATTTCTCGAATGTTGGGAGTGTGTGCAAGATTTTCTCTTGTGAGTTTGGATTTGGGAACCCTTGTTTTTGCTAATACACGTCTTGTTTAGTCTATAACTAGATTAGAATTTGGCTACAATTACAACTTTTCATTGAATACAAATTTATTTTTAATCATACTTGCATTAATTATATCAAATATTATAAATTTTGTTTGGACTTCTAAATCTTTGCGGAAGTCAGTGACCATAGCATTGGGTTTTATTATTAAAGATGATGGCCTCATGGAGTCTATTTCTGCTCATAATCTTCTGTCAGTAGAAATGGTGCACTCGTTCCTCTATAACTTTGGCTATTGTTTCATCTTTTATCTATTTGGTGAAGTGGTCGACTCATACTATTAAGAACTTCAGTTGACCTGGGGCCAAGGGGAACATGCCAATGATGTCAATGCTCTATTTGTAGAAATGTCAAAACGAAGTCATCGACCGGAGAAGCTCTGTTGGAGCGTGGTGAAGGTCGGTATGTCTTTGACATT